AAACAATTGCAGCACCACGTTCCCCTTGGGTTGATGTCCTCGAACCAACACATACATGCATGCATGCACTGCTCCATTATCCTCCGGCCACAACAATTTTTTTTTCTTTCACGCCTGTGCCTTCACGCGGGGCGAACCCGGCAGCCCAGAGGCCACAGGCACGGTGGCTCAAGAACTCAGCAGTGGACAATTTGGCGCGACTTCAGCGGTAGTACAGCGGCTCAACAGCTGCAGCGGCAGCGTGCTAAGACGGGGACGGCTCACCCCTGCTGCAGTTGATGCGGCGCGTGGCGTGGCGGTTTTGAGGCGGCTCGGTTGGCAGCTGGCGATTCAGAGGCAAACCAGGGCGGCGGCTCTCGGGAGTGCACTGCTGCTGCGACGGATCCTGCTGCCACTGATTCTTACTCCTATGCCGTAGGTCCACTGTGGTGGCGTGCTAGTTTGACTTTCCATTGACCAGAAAACACACTTACGCGCACATGGGCTGGAGCCAAGACGAACGTGGTATATGTGCATGAAACAATGCACACCTTTGAGAACCCACGTGATCACCAAATAGTACTTGTGGTTGATGAAATTATCTTTGGCCTTTACCCAACGTGTTGTAGTACCAGCAACTTATGATTTGATGCCTCGGAGTTTTAAATCAGCAAAACAGTGCACCGTAGTAGAATTTGACTGTCTCGGTGATTTGACAACTGACTAAGACACAGCGCAGGTAATCCTGATGGTTTGATTGCATAGGAAACCGAATTGGGGCTGACCTCTGCTGCCGTGTACGAGTTGAATCAGCAGAAGAAATATTTGTCAGTCTCGATAACGTCTGACAAGGCAGAAAAACAATCTTGCTTCGGATTGATGGATCACCAGGTTTACGGCGCCGGTGGCTCACAGAACGCTCCAGCCCTAGTTTTCCCGAACTCGGATCCCGTATCTGTCAACTCCAAAATTAGTTACAATCTCGATTCACAGAACGATGGCTGTGCCGGCTCTACCCAAGGTTGTCCGGCGGCAGGCTTTCTTCTACGATCGTTCCATGCCGACTCCTTTCATCAGATCAATTGCGAGCTTCTCGAATCCTAAAAAAGATCCCTTCAAAACTCAACGCCACCATGCATAGGCCCCACAATGGGTGCCAACTGTCGTGGAATTATCACGGCAGATGTCCTAGTGTAAGGACTTAGTCGCGAGGCCAACGCATCTTCGTGGTAGCTTGAAGGGGTTGAGCGGAATCGAGAGACGCAACACACAAGACGAGGATTTAGACAGCTTCGGGCCCCGGAAAACATCATCCGGTAATAACCCTACATGCTGTTTGTGGCTAGGTTTCATTATGATTATGAGGAAGTTGTCGTAAGCCAGCTCTCCTCTTTGTGTCTAGCCCTAGATATTATTTCTTGTTGCTTGTCCCTCTTGGGGAGCCCTGCCCCTCCTTATATAAGTTAGAGGGGCGGGTTACATGTGGAGTCCTATTAGGATTATAACTAACTTATTCTCTATTACAAGTCGGATACAAGTACAGGTCTTGCTTCCTCGTAAAGAAAATATTCCTCATACCTTCTGTCTTAAGCCGGCCTACCATAACATAAGCCGGCCTTCTGGGCCTTGAGCCTCCTGGGCCCTCGGGTCTTGTTGCTCCTCTGATGCGCTTGCCAGGTCACCCATAAGTCGCCAGGATCGGGCAGGTCACTTAGTATGTCGTCCAATCAGGACGGGTCATTAGTGAGTCACCAAGTCCGGCAGGGTTATACATCCAGCCGGGTCATACCGCGGGGTATATCCCCGACACCATACAACACACGTTCATAGCAATCCATTTCCCTCTCAAAAGAAAAGTTTTGGTCACTCCCTGTTGGTAGTAGCCCAAAAGGATTACCCCTCTTTTTTCCTATGATCTCTTTTCGAGCCCTCAGATTTCTCAACCCTCCCCTTCTTTTTACCTTTCCTCGCCTTTCTCTTTGCATGGGGCCCTGCATAAGATTCTTTTCAGCAGCAAAAGTGAACATTGCAGACTCATTGGCTATAGCCGGGTTAGCTAGCCTCGCAGCCGCAGCACCTGAAAGTGCCTCCAGCACACCAGGCTTAGGCCCTGTTTGGTTTTAATAAGTCACCTGACTTATAAGTCAGGTGACTTAAAACCAGTGACTTATAAATCACGCCTGTTTGGTTGTCATCTGATTTATAAGTCACCTGAGCACACCTTTCCACCTTGTTTTTTTATGTAAAGATGGTGGGACCCACACAAAAGGGGATGACTTATAAGTTTTAAATTAGGGTGGAGCAACTTATGACTTATAAATTGGGTCTGTTTGATAAAATAAGTCACTTTTTTCACTTTTCGACTTATAAGTTGGTGACTTATTTGAAACCAAACAGGCCCTTAAATAGAAGCTGATTCTGTATGTCATATGTGCCAGTCACATTCGGTAGATCACTAGCTGCACCCATCGAGGGGATCCCCTGGCCCTCCTGGCCAGCAGGACACTCCACATGGACAGCAGCAGCAGCCCTCACTTGTGTAGTTGACAGCGCTTCCAGGCGCTGCAGCACCTGGCCCCCCTGGCCTTGGAGCGAAGGGTGTACACGAGCACCCAAGCAAGCAGCCTGATCCTCCTGACCAGGGGCTCTCCTTTCCAGGGATTGCAGCGACCCCACAGTGCCTCGGCCCTCCTGGCCGAGCAGCGCAGCCCTTAATTAATGCATAAGGCAAATCTTTTGCATCCATTTCAAAATAAAAATAAAAATTAACTGTAGAACTTCGCCTGAGCGGTAGAGCACATCTTTGGGACAAGTGCATTCTGTCAACACAGTTTCCTGATGTGCAACACAAACCTGACAAGTTCCATCTTCGTCAATGAAGATAGATCTTTGCCAGGTCTCTTCGATATGTCAGCTTCTTAAACTGTAACATGCTCCCACACAAACTAAGCACAGCCTTCTAACTGGAGGCAAGATTCAGTTTTCTGGTAGGCTTCCAGTTCAAGGCTCGATGCTTGTCACTGCACAGAACTCAAGTTCTGAAAATCAGCTGCATACTGCTCATCAAGCTGAATAACTTAGTACAAAATTGAGTCATCTATTTTGGAACGGAGGGAGTACTTGCCAATCCTCTCAAATGCCCCGGCCAAAACATCTCCCTGAAATCTGAAGAGAGGCATCTGAAACATGTCATCAGCTTCTGGACCAAGAACGTCTGGTGTACAAGACCATTATCACAAAAAGGATCGCTTGGTTTCATAAATGTACAAAGACCAACAACATACTTCAATATTAACAGGATCGCCTAGAGCAATTTAATCACTATTGGAGCAGATTAATCATGCATAACTTTGCAACATCAGGTACAATAGCCATGGTTATCGCAAGCTTTATTAGGAGAGAGAATCAGGAAATCTGGAATTGCCTTACTTCACTAGTCTAACGAGTTTGCCAAATCGATTGCACTAGACGATGTGGTAGCCAAGATCTGAGGCCACAGTGCCTTCTCTACAGGTCAAATTCTGAACCAGTACTACTTGTGAAACATAGTAATTTTACTTGGTGGGTCTGGGTCGTAGAAGTACAGAAAGAATAATGAAGCAACTAAAGTGTGTTAACAATGCTATATA